ATAACAAAAAATAGTGTTCCATCGCTGCCCTTATCCTACTACTTGTATCCAACGGTCGTCGTTGCTCTGGCGCGTGTTATGAAAAGATATAAAGACAAAAACCAAAAAAAAAATGATATAAAATAAAAAAAGAAAAGAATAAAAATAATATGAGTATTTATCGAACTGATATATCACTTCCTGCCAACCACCAACAATATTCCTGCTCGGTCCCTACAATCATCATTATCGATTTGAGCTGCACTGTCGCTGTTTTGAGGAAGTTATGAATTTCAGAATAACACATACAGACAGACATACATTACACAACGACGACACACAAAAAAAGAAACAAAAACAAAAAAAGACAGACCAACAGCACACAATCACAAACAACAGACAAAACTGGGATTATATATAGTATGATAGGATAATGAACTTTTAATTACGATAGAGGCGTTTTAAAACGGCAACTGGAACAGTAAACTGCAAATTAAGCCAGTTCAAGAAACTGTTGCCATGTGAAACAACTTTTCGCCGCTAGATTAGCCGTGTCGCGACTCTGTGAGATACGTCTTACAACCTAGAAAACAGGTAATACGAGGGGGGGGGGACAAAAAAAGAGACTTTTTCTTCCTCGGCTTTCGAGGCGCTATAAGTTACACTTTATTAACTTCTTATCAGACCTTTCGACCACCATGTTAAAGAGCATATTAAATACTATCATGATACTCCGCCACAGCCTTCTGGTGGAGCGCCATCGAGAGATTCTGCCACGCGACCGTCAGTGGCTGCGTGAGTTCAGCGAGATCCTTGATTTCTCCGCCACTGTAGACCACCCTATTGAACTCCGCCCAAACCAGGTAATTGAGCGGATTCAGGTCAGGTGACCTACTTGGATATTCCACCTTCTTCAGGTACTCAACGCTCTTCCATTCCTCGTAGACGAGTGTTTTCCCAACGCCCTTCATTTTCATATGGTGTCAGCAGTACAAAGTTTCCAAGAAGGTACGGGCGACGACATGTGGAGAGGATATTCTTCTCGAGTTGCTCGATGTAACCGCCAGCGCTCACCTTTAGTTCGGGGCCCACGAAGAAAATATCGGTCTCTCCACTCCAGATGCGTCCGGTCCCCACCATCAAGTGGCGCCTTGACGACTGAGGTGAAGATGATGTCCTAGACCGTAGCGACGTTGTCGGAGCTGCTCGATGTTGGAGGTCTTCCAGATCGAGAATCCTGCTCTTCAGGTAGCTATTTATGGGTGCCTCCACACTAGAGGTTTCGCAGCTGTTTAGAGGTGACTTGAATCCCAAAGGTCTTCTTCAGTCAGGCTGCGACTGGAGATGACTTCATATTTTGGTGTACATAAAGTTGATGGGCGAGATCCAGCTCCTGCTTGTAGAGGAACATCTTGGGTATCTTCCACCCTGGTACTCGTATCCACGTCCTCTGTCTAGGCTGCGAAAACTTGGCTGATATGTGACTCGGTCGAAATGTCTTTTTATTTTGCCCCCCCCCCCCTCCCCCGCCCCTGTACATCGCCTGCTGAGGGGCGCTGTTTTCCCAGTCCGCTGGGGCGGTTCACCCTTAATCCCCAAGTATCGTTATCGCGCCTTCCCTCTCCCCTCCCCTCCCTCGGAGACAACCTTGAGCTTCCTCATATTGAAAAATTCCAGCTTCTATAGTAAACCTCGGAACGTTTTTCTATTTAGCGCATTTTTTCGCATATCTCGTACTTCAAGTGATCACCGGCGTCAGTGAAGTGATCTGGTTTGTCTACAGTGTGATTACAAACACATACACAGTTATCCACGTGTTAATTCTCCTACTCCTGATATGTGTTCAGGTAAGTTATTAATTAGACGGTTCCAGCCCAACACACCATGTTTCTTTCTTAAGCCATGACACTCCCTTTACTGCTCTAGCTTCAATGTCTCTGCGAGAGGTTCAATTTGATCAAAGAAACTGATCCTAGAGGGAGTTTGCTCACTGGACACGAATCTTTCCGATAGGCACGAGAACGCCTAGCTCCAGCGCCACAACACTTCATGCTTCCTTGGGTGAATACTTTGCAGAGAAGTTTCGCCCCTGAACAAGAGCGTTATATCCGCTTGCCAAAAATCTCGTGGAGCCTTCACGTTAGGCAACAAACAGTGTCACAGCCCTGGTCCGGCACCTGATTTCGGATGCTCATGGCAAGACAAGACCGCTCTTTTTTTGGTCGCCCAGGAGAGAGCAGATGAGGAGCAAAGGCCGCTTGCGCGTGTCACCTATCCTTGAGGATGCGCTCTACCTCGAAAGTGCACAGAAATAAGACAGTAGGGAACTGATAGCTCGACGCCATTTGGGGGTCGGACGCTTGTGAAAGCTTCTAATTTCTCACTTCTCTATCACCTTGGCAGACTGGCTTGTGGGGTCGTTTCACTCGAAGGTGAACCCCGCGACTGCATGCGGGGTTTGCGACTATGCGAGCAGCCAAATAAGTAGATGCTACGAAATTGTTGTGCTCTTCAATGAAAAGGTTATAGAGCGCGTAGAATAAGCGGACAGTCAATATTGGAAAAAGCGCAGTTTCTGTGCTCCAACCTTCGCATGCGCGTAGGTGTTTATGAGCAAGAGCGTACCAACATTCTGAATAAATAGCAATTCATTCAGACGATTGCTCTTCTGGCTGCAACTATACTCCGACACGTCCATATAAATTTAAGCGATCAGGTGCCGGAAGATGTGAAGAGGAGACATAGAAGACGTAGGCGAAGAAGCAAAGGCAGCAGAACTAGTAGTGGGAGTAGAAGAAAAAGAACAAAGAGCTCAGGTGATAAGCGTTATTCTGATGTTCCCATTGTACGCTTCTATACAGGGGGGCCAAAAAAAGTCACTTCGACCGAGTCACATATCAGCAAAGTTTTCGCTGCCCAGACAGAGGACGTGGATACGAGTACCAGGGCGGAAAATACCTAAGGTGTTCTCACAAGAATGCTGAGTTGTGGGCAAAAGTCGTGCCCCAGGCGGGAGTCGAAGCCGCACCTCACGCTTTCCGGGCGGGTGCGCTATCCGTTACGCCACCAGGGCCGCTTTTACCCTATCACTATCGGTTTCATGCCGATATCCCATCGATTACGGCTGACCGGCTCACCAAGTTAAACGTGTGAGTGCTTATAGGCTACGGCATAAAAGCCGTTAAGCTGAGAGGGTAAAAGCGGCCCTGGTGGCGTAACGTATAGCGCACTCGCCAGGAAGGCGTGAGGTGCGGGTTCGACTCCCGCCTGGGGCACGACTTTTGCCCACAACTCAGCATTCTTGTGATAACATTCCGAACGCGTACTGCGGCGTTAAACAGCAGTCATCATATCAAAACACCTAAGGTGCTCCTCTACAAGCAGGAGCTGGCTCTCGATCATCACCTTCATGTACACCAAAATATGAAGTAATCTCCAGTCGCAGCCTGACTGGAGAAGACCTTTGGAATTCACGTCACCTCCGAACAGCTGCGAAACTTCTGGTATGGGTTCGCCCATGGATAGCTACCTGGAGACCAGTACTCTCGATCTGAAAGATCCCCAACATCGAGCAGCTCCGGCAACGTCGCTACGGTCTAGGACATCAACTTCACCACAGTCGTCAAGGCGCGGGTTGATGGCATGGACCGGACGTACCTGGAATGGGAAGACCAATATTTTCTTCGTAGACTCCGGACATGAGGTGAGCGCTGACGATTACATTGAGCAACTCGTGTAGAATATCCTCCTCACATGTCGTCGTCCGTACCTTCTTGGAAACTTCGTACTGCTACAGCATTGGGTGCCACCTCATGAAATCGAAGGGCGTTGGAAAAACTCTTGCCTGCTTGGAATGAAGGGGGCTGGGTACCTAAAGTAGATGGAATATCCAAGTAGGTAACCTGACCTGAATCCCTTAAATTACCCGATTCGGGCGGAGTTCAATAGGGTGGTTTACGGTGTCGGAGAAATCGACTATCTCGCTGATCTCAGGCACCACATCGCGGTCGCACGCCAGAATCTCTCGATGGCGCCCGTCCAGACGTCTGTGGCGGAGTGTCATGATAGTATCTAATATGCTCTTTAATATGGTGGTGAAAATGTTTGATGAGAATTTAATAAAGTGTAATTTATAGCGCCTCGAAAGTTCGCTGTGGGCGAAGCATGTCGGGCGGGATGAATTTGGCGCGGTGCCAAATCCGTTTTCCAGCAGTTGCTGAGCAAGTTAAAAGACTGCATATCGTTAGTATCAGTCGCTTTCTACCAACCGTTGCCGCACGCCCGCTTCAACAACTGGCACGGGATGGGTCTGGCGCCGTAGCGCACTCATACTGCCTAGCACGCCCTTCATCCCGTTGATTTGGTGTATACTTCTTGCAGAAATGCGGAGTGGAGCGAAAATAAGCCTCAAAGCATTTGTCGCAACCTACTATAGCTATTTGCATATACATGCCAGTCGGTCCAGGAACAACTCTGTGGCGGATTGCTCCATGATCCGGTTTCAATCCTTGGCGTTCTCTGCGAGGCGATGGCAGCTGCCGTTGGCGTCGAGCATCTAGCCAGCCCCGTCTGTAGACTGGGATTGCAAGGCTTCTGTATGTAGACTGCACAGTTCTCTGTCGGAGCTATCTATACGGTGAAATCCCTCTGGAGTAGAACTCCTAAAATATCCGCTAACTGGGAAGCTCTTTAGTAGATATTGGTTAATGATGATAAAGGATTGAACCTGCCATCCCATCCACTCTCATTCACATGCAAAGCACTTCTCATTGTTGGAGAAAGTTTTTTTCCGAAATACGGTCCCTGATCTTCCTCCTCTTTAGGTCCCCCCCCCTTTCCTACGTTATTAACCGTCTTCCTATGCTTTCCAACCCAACTTTCTACAAATTTCCCGAAAATTTCCGAAGATTTCCGGATCTTTCGCGAAAGCACTTCCTCTGAAAATCTTTTCACTCTTTGGCATTTCCGGAATGGTCAAGCAGAAAGGAAACCCACTTCTCTTGCCTTTGTGTAACCCCCATATGGAACGGCCATCAACCATTTTAAAAAGCGCTAGGCTACCAGGTAATTCCGTGTTAGGAGATACCATCAGATGAGAATAACATCTTTTGCGACTATACAGCAGGTCTGGACACTTCTCGTTTGCCGTTCACAGAACAATACCAGTTTCCATCCTAAGATTTTGGCAATACTTGAGGAGTAACTTCAGCGGCTTTTCCCCTACTTAATTTTGAACAAGGGGGTTTAGTTGTGAGTTTACTCATGAGGAGCTGCATGCAAAAGTTAACATTTCTTTGGAAACCCTTTTGAGTACGTTCACAGACCTACATATGTACTCCTACCATTGTATTAAGTAGGTTGCCTGGGAAGTTCTCAACGTTTTGACTGTTTCACTTTAAGCGATCATTACTTTCTTAATACTCATCGGATTTGATCGAAATAAGCACCATTCGAATCAGCACACTTTTGCCAATGTGACACCATTAAATAAATCCCACGGAAGAAAAAACTGGGTGGCGAGAATTCACGAAATCCACGAAGGCTTTTTTTGCGTGATCCTGATTGATGGAGTATTTTCCAGCAAGGAATTTCTGAAAATGTTTGAAAAGGTGATAGCTGGTTGGGGAGAATATGGCGGGTGAGGTGGAACCTCAACCCCCAATTCGTTCAATTTATGGATAGTGATTTGTGAAACATGTGGGTGGGCGTTGTCATGCAAGAGAATCGGACCCTTTCTGTTGACAATTACTGGCTACAGCTGACGCAATTTTCGGTACATTTCGTCGATTACTTCACAGTAGGACTCTGTTGTGATGTTTGGCCTGGTGACAAAAAGTTATTGTGAACACACCAGCCGATGACCACCACACTGTAACCATAATCTTTTTTTTCGTGAGGATTCGGCTTTGGAAATTGCCTCGGTGGTTCGTCATCATCCAACCGCTGCCCGGAACGTCTCCTGTTATAATACATGATCCACTTTCCATCACAGGTGACAATTCGGTGCGAAAACGGGTCGTTTCTGTCGCGCAAAAGCAGAAGAAGAAACCCTGAGACGTGCCAATTTCTGCCGGTCACTCAAATTGTGGGCACCCACTTATCGAGTTTTTTCACCTTTTCAATGCGTTTCAGACCATCCGCAACAGTGGATTTGCCAACGCACAGCTTTTCTGCAATCTCTGAACTGTTCGGGGTGGATCAGCCTCCACAAACGCCCTCAAATCCTCGTCAGGTATTGCTTAGGGTCGACCGCTACGAGGTTCATCTTCAAGGCTGAAATCTCCAGAACGAAACTTGTCGAGCCATTGTCGCACGGTGCTTTCTCCAACACTAATGGGCCCCTACACCTGCTTAATTTTTCGAGCTGTCTCGGCTGCCGATTGACCCAATTTGTAGTTAAAGAAAAATGTCCCCCGAAGTTGCTCTTTTGACATGCTTCAAAAAGTCTTGGGAAACAAGGGTTTATCATGCACGGCAATTATACCAGCACATAGCGCAAAAAATTCTCTTCAGGATGTCGTACTGAGACACCAGGGAGAATGTGTTTTCACCAATGAATGTGTAAAAAATAGTAACACAAAACGCTGTACTTTCCGGACAACCTAATGTATTGCCAGTAGTAGTGAAACACAGTGAAACAACAACATATCATTACAGTTTGGTTTTTGTTTTAAGTTTCGAAAGAATCCTCCCAAGGAAAAGAGTCTTCAAAGCGTGAAAGTTGTTCGTCACCACATTCTCCATCTCGACGCCGAACCTCGAAAGACCTTGAGCAAGGACCAGACGAAAGCACAAGAACAACAAAACCGGGGGTGAGCTGCTCTTCCTGTATTCTCGCGAGTTACGCTAGATCAGTGCATCATCGTGCAGGTGTTAAGCATGGGTACATAAATTCATCAGAATTCGGCGAGAGAGAAATGATATGTATACTTCTTGTTCTTGAGGGTGCCCACAGTTTGCCTCGCTATTGCAGACACGTGAGCGGAGGAAAAAACTACGTGAAGACTCGATCAGGAAGCTCAAAGAAGGCCGCAGGAAAATCCTTGAATTAGCACAGCAGCTCAGAAAGTGAGTCATTATTTTGCCCTTATTCAAACGGTGCGACACAAACTTGAATCATCCAAACTTTCTCGCTATCTATTACAGGAGGGAAGGACTTGGCAGAACGCATAGCGATCCGTCACTAAACATTAAAAAGGATAAAGAGCAAAGCGGTGAAAGTACAAGGAAATCAAAGAGCATGGAAAGCACCACTCAAGACAAAACATCCGCTGCCGTACGTGTTTGACCTCTGTCTTACTCTGTCTACTGAAGGATTTATACATAGGCTGGAAAACCCGTACAATCTAGCAGTTTCAGGCATCTTGGTCGACTCCAACAACTGGTCGGCATCCCTCCTCTCAAAATGTAAGCTGCTTTTTATAACAAAAAAGCACACAGTCTCTTCGTACCAGTTAGGCACCCAGTATGTGCAAGGTGGCCGATATATGTTTGTGCTCGCTGTTTCGGGGCGGGCGAATTTCATGACTCGAGTATTCGACTTTATTCTTGGCTGCTGTTACTCTATTGTACTTTTTTCTGATACTTGCTTGTTTCCATTCATTGTTTTTGTAGATGACGCTTCATTTTGGTCGAAAGACAGGGATAGCCGCGTGGTTAAGAGTGAAGGCTCATGTTTGCAGCCATTCTAGAGAAGGCTATTAGTTCGATCCTTGCAGAGGCAATGACCATGCCTTGCAAAAATGGTGCCGATACCAGCGTCAGGACCAGGTTGACAAGCCGGCTGGTGGAGAACACCGTCACAAGGACCATGATTGAAAGTCGCAAAAGAATCAGCGATAATGCTAGGACGTCACCCGTAAGTGATGCGCAGATCGCCCGAGTTCTGTGTTCTTCGAACCGGCGCATTTGGGAGCTCTCAGGAAGTGTCCGCCATCAGAGGTGGACACTGTTCCTCGTGATCCCTCACTAGAAATTCTAGCACTAACTGATTGCTTCCGAGATCTCATTTTTTTTGGTGAACCTTTGCACGCAGGGTTATTTTGGGTCCTGGTCACGAAAACGACATTCGCTTTGTCCTTTTGTCCTGCGGCGCCATTTGGCACCAGTGTGCGCCGATTTAGTGCTGTAATTTCTCTCACGAAAATAGGTGTAGACTTGAATATCGAGTTATTTGTCGCTCAACTTGAAAACGACATTCACATCTGGCGCACGGCGGAATCTCGCCATTCAGCACCAACCGATTTTGGCCCTTCCCTTTCTTCGCTGAAATCGGTGTAAACTTGCACATTGGCATTGTTCGACTTCCTGATCACGGATACACAGTTTATCTTGGCACTACAATAGCGCTCCTAATTTGTGGTCAGTCGACGGTTTGCGACAGATTTTTCCGTCGCAAACCGTCGTTTTGCCATAACTTTCGTAAAAATCGTCCAAACTATTTAAAAATCACACTGTTGGCTAGCTGGAACCTTGACGAATCAAATGGTCTACGAAGCGTTCAATTTTGTCCAGTGCGTTGGCCTTATTTTTGACGGATTCCAAAAACGGCTAGATGGGACAGTTTTTGGCGCTCCCAGCGCTGGTAATTCTTGCAGGGGGAGCCGCCCCCTGCGCAGCAGCCCTGCCGAACCTTCAGGAAATCTCCTCTCTGCGTATGGGTTTGACTACTCATGCGCTTAGATCTTAGGTCAAAAAATGGGAAAATCAGCGCTATAAATTATTACTCCAGTACCCGGTTCCACAAGGTAAAGGGTTGGGGCCAGTCACTTCAAAACTTAATGACTTTTGGTAACGATAAGAAGTGTTGTATATGTAAAAGAAAGTGCAAGAACATGGTGATATAACTAATGCAGATAATTACATGCATCAAACATTACAAATTTATATATTAACACATATACAGAAGGAAATGCAGATTGTCACGCTAAAAATGTAGTATACTGTTCAACATGCAATGGCTGTGGGATACAATATGTCGGAAAGACTTAAGAAAGTTAAAAGAAGGGATTGGAGAACATCTTTCTAATTTATTTTCACACAAAGTACACACACCGTTATATAATCACTTCTACATATGTGATAGAGATATAACGGTACAAGTACTGACTGTATGAAATCTAATGATAAAACTACATTGATAGAAGAAGAACTTTCTTGGATCAAACTTCTGATGACAGCATATCCCTTTGGACTGAATGAAAACATAAAGGGATATGGAAACATTACAAATATAGGAAATCCTCTTATGTACAAGGGCAACCATCCCTTCTTCTCTCTCAAAATTATAAAGCGAAGGACTAATAGAGGAAAAAGAAACAAGGATGGAGAGCGGTGGTCGTTCAGTGTGTGTTTAGCGAAGCAAGACAACACCTCAAATTTGTGTAATCAAACCTTAATGTATATTCAGAAAAGGAGCACGAATATAACGAATACAGGTGACATCATCTTCAGTGTAACATTAAAGCCATTAGAACAAACAACATAGCTTCAAGGTAGTGACCGGAATGAACAAATTGAACAACTTAACTCGAATAGCCAACAACGAGGATGAGCGGCAGAGGTAACATAAGCAAGGAAGGACATATGGAGCGAATAACACGCAAAACAATATGTGAACAACGATAATCTAAAGCAAATCGTAAATTAGGGGATGAGTAGCACAGAGCGTAAGAATGGCCATGTCGCAGCATCGCATAAAGATAAAGGTTTTAGGCATCGTGTTCGCATAATCGCAATCAATAGGAGAACTAAAGGAGGGAGCACAAGAAAAGAAGCAAAGTGCAAACTGAGAGCGGCTGGACTACTCCTGCTATTTATAGCCCGTTTTGGCGCGCTCCCGCGCGATCGCGAGGATTTGATCCGCGCCTATTGATCTGTGATCGCGGAATCGCGGTGTTTTCGCGATAAATAAGAAGGATAAAATAAACGCATACGAAAACATTATAGCAGAGATAACAAGTAATAGTGAAACTCAAACCTATCCAGTACTACGGAATGCTCAAGAGTCCGCGTAAAGAAAAACTTAACAAGCTAAATGAACTCTCCATGTCTGCAGACTTCCTACAAAAAGTGAATAATAAGGCTAAGTTTTAATATTTTATCTGCTAGCTCACTTTCACACTACCACAAAAATCACAAGAAAGAACCTTCATAATGTAGAGGTCAGTTTCAAAAGCAGAGTATTTTATGAAATTCCCTTCAACAGGATCTTCAGTCTGTCAGAGAGATACTACTCAGCGATAAGGGGAGGGAGAGTGAATTCACTCCAATCAGATGTTCTATTACTTCTGCGCCAACGAGGTTTGTAGGTGGAACTTTATTTATGGCCTAACGTTTTGACCAGATCGTCGTCCTCAGAGGCCTAAACGTAGCTCAAGATTTTTCAATTTGCTCTCTATACCGCCAAACGCCTCGTCGCAATAGCGTTTCCGACGGTATTTCCAGAAACAACCAAAATTCTCTCGTAAGTAAAACATACTCACCAAGTCCACCGCGGCATGAGCGGATCAACGCCGCTCCACTAGATGTTAGTAAAATAAGTGAGACACACCGTGCCGTCTTTATATAGTAGCTATCAGGACTTGCACGTCTCCCCGCTTACATCATTAGCTTGCAATGTGGTGAAAACGGTGAGAGATCATTAATTCTCAATTTCGTACGCTAGGATCCTGCACTTCACAAAAAAATCACTCCCGCGGTGCTCTTCGATCAGATGCTTCCCTAACGGTGTTGTTATGTTACCATGCCTTTTACCAGCGAAATGTTCTTTGACACGTGTTGCCAGTGGCCTATCACTCTCCCCAATGTATGTTGCATTACATGTCTGGCATTCGATTTGGTAGACCATGCCAGCTTTGGCGCAATCTCCTGCTTTACCTTAGGATATATCCTTACATTCTATAAAGCAGAAACTTTGTGTGTCGGTTTGTCGGTATGTAGGTATGTAGGTATGTATGTCGGTTTGCATGTCTGTCCGTCCGCAAAATGCTTTACGGGATTAAACACGTTAGTAGAAAGAAGAAAACGACCGCTAGCCAAACCGGAATCCATCGGTGCAGATGTATCAATTCAATGTTTTGATTTTGATAACAGCATATACAGGGGGGGGGGCAAAAAAGATTTTTCTTCCTTGACATTCGAGGCGTTGTAAGTTACACTTTATTGAATTCTTATCGGATATTTCCACCACCATATTAAAGAGCATATCAAATACTATTACGATACTACGCTACAGCCTTCTGGAGGAGCGCCATCGAGAGATTCTGCCACGCGACCGTCAGTGGGTGCCTGAGATCAGCGAGATAGTCGAATTTCTCCGCCACCGCAGACCACCCTGTTGAATTCCGCCCGAACCAGGTAATTGAGGGGGTTTGGGTCAGATGACCTGCTTGAATATACCACCTTCCTCAGGTACTCAGCGCCCCTCCATTCCAAGTAGGCGGGTGTTTCTCCAACGCCCTTCGATTTCATGTGTGGCAATGCTGTAGCAGTACAAAGTTTCCAAGAAGGTACGGGCGACGACATGTGGAGTGGATATTCTTCTCGAGTTGCTCGATGTAACCGCCAGTGCTCAGCCTTCAGGCCGTTGCCCGCGAAGAAAATATTGGTCTCTCCATTCCAGGTACGTCCGATCTCTACCATCAACTGGCGCCTTGGCGACTGGGATGAAGATGATGTCCTGGACCGTAGCGACGTTGCGGAGTTGCTCGATGTTGGAGGTCATCCAGATCGAGAGTACTGGTCTCCAGGTAGCTATCCATGGGTGACTCCATACTACAAGTTTCGCAGCTGTTTGGAGGTGACATGAGTTTCGAAGGTCTTCTCCGGTCAAGTTGCGGCTGGAGATGACCTCATAATTTGGTGTATATGAAGGCGATGGGCGAGCGCCAGCCCCTGCTTGTAGAGGAACATCTTGGGTATCCTCCGTCCTGGTACTCGTATCCACGTTTTCTGTCTGGGCTGCGAAACCTTTGCTGATATGTGACTCGGTCGAAATGTCTTTTTTTTGCTCCCCCCCTGTATAAGACAACCACTCGGTACACTCCGAGCCATTGCAGGAGCTGCTGCCGTGGCAGCCGTGTGCTCGTGCGGGGGCAGGGTGGGGGGTGCCAGGTCGCCCTGCCTCCTTCTCCTTCATGTGCTCAGCCGGAGCTGAGCCATGTATTGGAGGGAGGCAGAAGGAAGGGGTCACGGGGAGGGGCGGGGGGGTACAGTGAGGGATGCGTAGCGCGCGTTTCAGTAGAAACGCACACCAGTGGATGAGGAAACAACCGCTAACAAAACTGTAAGCCAATCTATGTTACCGTAAAGAACTAAGAAGTTGTTTTGGTTGTGATAACACTCTCCACTATATAAGAAAACCACTACACTTCGAGCCATCACGACTGGAGGGTTTACGACGCTGTCATATCCTCAGGTACCACCTTAGGTGACTGGAGACTGGACACTGGAATTCGTCAAAAATAAGGCCAACCTGCTGGAAAAAAGTGAAGGTTCATAGACCATTAGATTCGCCAAGGTTCTAGCTGTCCAACAGTGTAATTTTTGTATAGTTTGGACTATTTTTACGAAAGTTATGGCAAAACGACTGTTTGCGAGGGAAAAATCTGTCCCAAACCGTCGATTGGGACAAATTAGGCGCGGTATTCTATTCACCCTTTACTACCTATCCAAAATCAGGCCCCTTTTTTGACTTTTTATTTTCTCCGTAGGCACAATTGCCTAAAGTTGTCGCCTAGGGTAGTTTCACCTCCTGAACACGGATATCGCATCCGCTTAGCCCAGCACCTCCTGGCCCCACGCCAGGAGGTGCTGGACTAAGCACTTTTCGTTTCACTGAATTTCACTGAGAACAGATGGGATGGTCTGTCCTCACGAGCACGAATATCACCTCTTTGGAGCGCTGAGAATGTTCAGAGTGGAGTCAAGAAATACAGACGATAGCGCAACCTGCTTCTATTCGCCTGCACCCTTCCCTCGGAATAATGATTCTTTCGTCTACTGAGATTTAGCCTTAGTGAAGGGAAGGATTATTAACACACAACCAGAACAGTGCTGCTTCTCTTCGCGTTTCCTAACTACTCTAGCACGCAGCTCGGCACGAAAGCGACTGGAGTCTTTGCTACACGCGCCTGAGTGGAAAGAAGCATGTGATGAGTTGCTTCTGACGTATGCGTCAGGCGCTTTCAGACTGGACGGATGTGATATTTATATTCAGGGGGTCTCGAGAACTTTCAAGCCAAGGATTGGGGTTGTGGAGATAGAATAAGTGAATAGTGCCTTAATTTTTTATCACCGGCGCTATTCGGCGCCGGAATCCATCGGTCGCTGCGGACTTGGCGCCACGAGCTTTTTCGCTAAAGTGGTAGTTCGATTACGACTAGAGAATCTTTCCATCTTACCAGGGCAGCTACATGGCATGATCGCCGTCTTGTGCTCTGAAAAGGCTGAGTCTTGAAGGAGGAGGGGTTCACTCCTTCCACGCCCAGCCTTAGCATAGCGTTGATGACCACTGTGTCCTACGCTAGCACTTGTGCTAAAAATGAATCTCATCCTTAACAAGGATGGCGAATAACCCTAATATCCGAATTCACATCAATTTGGGGAAGAGGTGATAGCATAAAATCGGCGTCTATTGGCACTGGCATTTATAGTGAATGTCATATTCGTAATTAGATCTTTGAAAAGCTTTATAATGCAACTTCGGATTCTGGTCAAAAAATAGTGGTGCTATTATGGCACGGCACCATTCCGGCGCCTAGTAGCACCAGCGGTAAGAATGAGTGCGTAATCACGACGTCAAAAAACCCCAGAAAGGAAGTTTGTACAGGTTTTGATGAAAGAAGTGGTGGCGTGAAATTGCACTTAATGGCGCCAAAAAGCGTGAAATTGCGCCGACGCCAGGGAGGACGTCATGTATGTGATCAGGGCGACGGACAACCCCTACAGGTAGTTCTTCAACAGAAATTTGTCGAGAGATTCTGGGCTCAGGTGCTGCAAGTTGGATAGTACCTAGAGGATCTTATAAGTGAAGATCTCGTTGGTCCATATTTGCTCAAATTAGTAAAGGTATGTAGGGTAGCTGTACTGGAAAAGATCTCTCGAAGAACTTGAGCTGTTCCTGAAAATTTCATGAAAAGCCCATCCACCACATATTGTGGGCACGTTTCCGAGTGGACATCTCGGTGTCCACCACCGGTGGCGGGCATTGTAACGAATGTGCTAAAGCAGCTAGTTCTGACTGGGACTTTGAACGTGGGGTCGCTGACCGGAAAATCTCGAGAGGTCGCTGATCTGATGAAGCGAACTGACATTCAATCCCCATGCCTTCAGAAAAAAAACGCAGAAAGGAGTCAAGGTCCATCAGATTGGAGAAGGGGGCCGGACCTTTCGTGAGAATGAACCCAATGGAGTACTACTGGACAATAGTGACCATGCAGTGACAAAAGCGCATACACTGCGAAGCATAATCATAGTTCCACCCATGAATCTCACAAAATCCCGTCTCACACGACGTTTTCAAAAATGTCCCCATACAAAAATGTTGTAATTACCACACCAATTT